TGTTTGAATGACAAAATAAAGGACACTGAACTCACACTGACTGAAACTAATAAAGTGCAACCAAAATGGTAGTTAGGTAAAGTCTTAGTTAGTTAGTAAAGTCGAGTAGTTAGCACAGTTAGTCAAGGTAGTTAGTAAAGTCTTATTAATGTGTTTAACTAATGATAATCCGTTTTTACTTGACAACTACACTAACAAAACTCCCTAAACAAATTGCATCCAATGCAAAGTTGAGCCACGATCAGAAACGCTCATATTTAGCCAACTCCAAACACTTGAACATTCAGTGTCAGTAACCTCGCTCCTCACAATCACAGTTGTTTTCACTAAGAAAAGCAGTTACATAAAAAAACAATTATCGAACATGCACAAACAGCATACACCTCCTTAATACGTTGACAGATGTGCGACTCCAGTCAGCATGATGAGAGCATCTTTCCATCATGTACGTATATCAGTAAATTTGAGAAGCATTTGTTGTTGTTGATGATTCTGATCCCCAGAGACAACACAAACCGAACGCTATGAAAAAGCTCATGCTGCTAACAGGACTGACATACATTAATAATGAGAGACTTTATCATAAACAAGACTTAAAAGTGCCGCGAGCAGATTGCGCGAAAGAACAAGCGCCTGTCCGTGTTTGTTTGTCGATCTATGGCTGATCCATATCTGTGAACGACGCTGTTTTAGCCCATAGCCAGGCTGCTTGAGGCAGTCGAGATATGAAGAGAAAGCTGAATATGGATCGGCCTCCCAGAGGCTAAGTGGGATGGCTTGTTTAATATCCCCCAATTAGAGTACAATTTGAGAGATCAGCCGCTGACTAGCCCAGGCCGTCCTCACCTCTACAGAGGGCCTGTCACCTACTGTCACATACAGATACTGCAAATGTATGCGCTCAATTACGGAGCTCCGGCAGCGCGCCACGGGGCCCGGCTAAATATAAAATGGCAGCTCTGCGGCCCCCCTCCCAGAACAAAAAAAAAAAAAAAGGGTCGAGGTGGGAAATAGCATACCAGCGTATGGTAATACCTCAGAGGGGAACGTGTGATCTCTGCCTTTAGATTTATATAGGTTTACAAGACTTAAATAAAGAGTTCTCTCCAGGGGGAGAGGCGAGGAGGAGGAAAGAGGCGATGTGAGTCTCGTTGCTGAGGATGGTGTGGTGACGGGGTCCCGCTGTGACCTGTAGTGGTGTAACGATGTGGTGGCTTCCCTGCATTGGTGATTACAGGGGGATCTGGTGCCTGCGTTCACAGCTCAGCCAAAGGCAAGCAGGTCTAATTGCTCTCAGAGGGGGTGAGGGTGAGAGAAAGAGTCTGCAGAAGCAAGACGGCCCTCCGTACGCCATCAAAACCCAGACACGAGCGAGAGAGAGGACGCACGGAACGAGAGGAAAGGAGAACGAGCTTCTGAAGGAAAAGCAGGACGAGATGGTAGGAGAGGGAAGGAGATAGATTGTGAGAGAGGGCTCCTTTATTAAAGCTAGTGCTAATTGAGATAGGAGCCAAATAATGGAGGATGACACTTTAATGAAGACATGCTATGTGCTGCTACTTCCTCTCACTCCCTCGCTTCCTGCCAAAGAAGAAAAGAGAGAGAGAGAGAGAGAGAGAAAGAGTGGGAGAGGAAACAAGCACGCACATTTCTGCTGGTATATTACAAGAAAGAAAGACATAATGTGGAGGTATCCTCGCTGAGCAGTAATGCGTTTTTGGAGCCGTGTCAAAAACACTGAGGGTAGATGTTATTGTTCCCCTGTGTTAAAACCCAATTACGCAAACCGGAGTGTGATTGCATTCACCAGCGCCGCATCTCTACCTACAGCTCCACTCGCTGTAAAAAAAAAATTAGACGGTCTTCACTGAACTTCCGAAAAAAAAAGGCAGCCATTTGCATGAGGGTTTTTAGTTAAATTCATTGCACTCATGATTTGACTTTTTTTTTTCAGCTTATAAGGTAGGTGTTCTAGGGGAATTTCTAATGGGATATTTAGAAAAGCTCCTTATATGTATATGTTCAAGTTTTCCATTCAGTATTACGCATGTGCTGTCATGCTTTCGAAAAAAAAAAGGTTGACTTGGAAAGCAAAGAATCGTAACACTTTAACCTCCTAAACTCTGCGCACCTGGTACTAGGTCCGTGACGTAATTTATTTCCACATTCTTTACATTTTAAAGGTCCGGACTGGCTCAATACCCCCATAAGTGGTTCCTTTCTTCAATCAGTTGGAATAGAATATAGCTTTGCATGGATTTTCTTTTTTCCTATGATTACTGACATGTGCAGAAACCAACAAAATTAATTACAGCAAGCTAAACAACACAGAACCTAAATATACTTTCAAATTTAAGTTTACAAGAAAAAAAAAAAACGTCTCTTTTTTGGAGTGGTTTATTATAACACAGACAAAAATATACAATAATTTTAATCACGTTAAACAGTGTTTTATAAAAATTGAAAGGGCTTTCTTTTAAAAAAAAACAATACACTGAACTTTTGCATATACACCTCTGCATGTGGATTTGGGAAGCTTTTGATTTTGGGTACGCAAAATCCAGACAGAATCCCCAAAACAGCACTTGACTTTTAGTTAATGTTCAGCCCTGCTCACACTGTGAGATTTCAGCCACGATTTTGTCATTTGAGACAAACTTGGGAAACCCTAAAATATTCCTGAAATCCTAGGCTAAAATCGGTGATCTTTGATCGTGGGTTTGACATGTTCACTGGAGGAGCTCTGAATTTGATGATGCAATTCATGCGACAATTCAAATGACACATTTTTTTTGTCTTACTGGTTTTATTACTGAAACACGCTGTGTGCAAAATTGCCGCTACAGATTGTTTACATTTGCTGCGTGGAATTATTTCAGAACACGGGATAGTGAAAGTGTCAAGCGTGGATGACATCAAACTCCAGGGGCGTTTTCTTTCGTGTTTGGTGCATCTTCATTGCTGTTCAGTTTCACTTTATGACAGAAAATTATATAGAAACCTACATTATTAAATGGTACAGTATAATGGATTGGCAAGTATATAGAGCGTTTATTATATACATAGAAGTTTCATGTTTAGGTTCTAGATTATAGGCTAATGTTTATGGATGAGAGTATTCTCAATCATGGTCATAAATACCCTATATGTTAGAGGAGCTGAACATGCCGCGCTGACATAAGTATGTGGTCTGAATGCAAAGATTGGAGAATGTAAAACATAAAGTTTTTTTTTTTTTTTTTTGTTCGTTTCCCTCCCTCAGACTCAACATCAAAATCACATCCTGTAAAGTATGTGGTGATAATTCTTTTAATAAGTTGTCACTATAAAACAAGAAGAAGTAGAAGTAGAAGACTTTGATGACAGCTGAGATCTTACTCGCTGCGTCCGAAACCGCATACTTCCATACTATACAGTATGTTAAAATCTGTATGCGAGCCGAGTAGTATGTCTGAATTCATAGAATTCAAAAATCAGTATGCGAGAAGCACCCAGATGACATCCTACTTCCGGCGAGATTCTGGAGTGAGCATCCCATGCATGCTGCCCTATCCCATGATGCCCCACGAGAGAATTCATGAATGGGAGTGGGGACGCAGGCAGGTCATGTGACCATGACATAATGGCAGATGTAGAACGTCTGAATTCCATTCATACTTTTCACATTCAAACTGTATAACGTACTTTTATAATGGCAGAGTAGTATGTTTAAATTCAAATGCAGTACCTACTGAGTAGTAGGCGGTTTCAGATTTAGCAACAGTGTGACATGAGAGCCATGTTCATGCAGCATGCTATAATCATTCAGGATTATAAAAAAAAAAAAAAGTGTGAGCTGGCCCTAAATTAATGTATTCAATAACATGAACAAACAATTAGTAATACATTTATTACGATAATTAATTATCTTTGTTAATGTTATTTAAGTAAACAACTTCAGTTCATGTTAACTCATGGTGCAATAGCTAATGTTAACAAGCACAACTTTAGGTTTTAATAACGAATTACTTAATGTTGGACTATGATTAATAAATGCTTACAAGATTACTCATACTTAGTTAATGTTAGTAAATACATTAACTAATGGACCATCAGTCTAAAGTGTTACTCGAACTTACATACAGTGCTCAGCACAATTGAGTACAACCCATTTAAAATAGATTTTGTATGTATCCATTTCTCAGTGAATATAGTTTATGTATTGTGGCGCATTTAAACAAAAGTGATTAAACAGATATAATTATTACAGTATTATTTTAGTTGGCAAACATATTCAAAAATTGAAAGATTATACAATTAAATTCAAGCAAAATATTGCAAAAATAAAGTACAACCTACAAAATTTCAACTAAATTTTTCAATGCTTTTGCTTCTCTTGATTTTTCCTCTTTTTATAAATGTGTATTTAATATTTTTCTATAGCATTTGGCTGTACTAGTTTTTGGAGTGTTATTGTAAGTCCCTTTGTTAGATTAGCTCCAGATTGGGCTTCAGTACAGACTAATATAACATATATACACAAATATGATATTGTATAGCTTCCTATTAAAATATGAATTTAAAAGAGAGATGTGTGAGGGGTGTACTTATTTATACTTATATATATACTGAGCCCTGTACACTCACAGAAATATTTCATCCAAAAATTAAGATTTATGTAATTTTATTACATGACAAATTCCCATTTATATTTTTTTCATAATTTTAACACAAATCTACCAAATAAACTTTATACTATTTATTTTCATAAGGATAATAAAACCTATTTATTTTAAATGCATAATCCTCAGATTTACGTAATTAGTTCATGTAAAGTTTAATTATTCTAAATTAATAATAAAAAGTGTATTTATTTAAAATACACAAAGTTTATTGTATAAATTGCATAATGATTAAGAGAACTAAATCGGGGTAACTAAAAAATATAAATAACATTTATTTGAATCATGTTTAATGTATGCTTATATACTAAACCAAATCAAACAATGCATCACATTGAATTAGACCAACTGGAAAATTCCAGATTTATTTATATTTATCTTTTATACAAAACTCTGGATTGAGCCAAGTTAACATCAGCCAACATTTAGGAAACCATCCATATGAACCCACTTACACAGCCACACTCGAACATCACATGACTGCTTGGACACCCAAAAAAATAAATAAATAAAAAATAAAACTGTTCTCAGAGATCCATTTTCAGTTGCTAATTAACATATCATTATAGAACTAGGAAATCATTTTAACATATCTCTGGGTTGGAGCACTATGTGAAAAAAAATGGGTAGGGGCTGTATAAGTTATTATTTTTAGCCAAATCACTGGAGCAATTTCAGTTTCAGTGTCTGTACTTTCGGGGAAAGCTTGGTTGAGTCCAGGTCCATCAGGATTTTCTGGTACACCTCAAATGTACACTTCAGGCTTTTAGGGTAGTTCAAATTGAGCGCGTAGATCAGGCCATATAACATAACCCATGCATGAGTGACACTCTGCAGGTTGTGGAGAACCTCCACACCTTCCAGCACAACACGGACATCAGTGAAGCGTCCATCACCTTGACCATGATCCTCTGATTGTACTTTGTAGATGCCCATGGTCTTTCCTGCCATGTCTTCCTCTGCCTCTCTGGATTCAATGTCCTGGAATGTATAAACACACACTTATAATATTACACACACACGCATACACACACACATACGTACATCTTTTCATTAAAGCAGACAGCATATAAGCATTCATGAGAATGGAATGGATGCAAGTTCAGGATAATGACCTTAAGACCTGATCACCCCCTAAAAGCCTGGAAAAATAAAAGTCACAAGGCTGTGGATAATAAGTTAACAACAACACAATGCATTTTTATCTCCAGTTGTGCAATTTCCTATTAATGTAACAACAACAATATAATATCTGAAAATTATACAAGTATTAGTCTTGTTCTCACTTGATTATGGGTCAACCCTTCACTTGGGGTGAGGTTTTCTATTTTAGAACGGAGGGATTTCCGGGGAGACTGCAGAGATTTTTCTTCCAATGAAGCCATTAACCTGCCACGAAAAAATGCAGTTAAAAAAAGTTAACTAAAAATGGAGACGCTTCTCATGAATGCTGTGCACCTTTCTGCCAATGTAACAATTTATAATCTGACAATCAAGTCAGATTATAGTAGAGCAGAGTGTAGTATGTCCATCAAGCCTGAAACTTAAAGGGATAGTTCACCCAAAAATAAAATTTTTACTCATCCTCGTGTTGTTCCAAATCCATATCAGCTCTGTTTATCTTCAGAACACAAATTAAGATATTTTGGATCTGATCCTCCCATAGACACCACTTAAAGTGCACATTCAAATTACACAAACCTACTAAAAACATAGTTAATGTAGTCCATGTGACATGGGTCACTCAATTTTAACATGATAAAGCAACAAGAATACTTTTTGGCTGAAAAAATTATAAAAATAAAGACTTTATGTTTGTGGACTTTAAATGTTTGTGCATTTTTAGTGATGTCTATGGGAGGATCAGAAAGCTCTCAGATTAAATCCAAAATATCTTAATTTGTGTTCCAAAGATGAATGGAGGTGATACGGGTTTGGAACAACACGAAGGTGAGTAATTGATGACAAACTTTTCATTTTTGGGTGAACTATCCCTTTAAGAGTTCCATCCTGATGAAGCGGTTTCTTTCAATGAAATTACTCTAATAAACCGCAGGTGCACCATGACGTCACTTACTGCTATAAAGCTCCTATCATTACATAAAACGATAGAGTTTACTCCACATCCATTAGCCCCAACAGTAAAAAGATCAATGCTTTTAATTGTACTGCTTTATTTACCTTTTGACATTGGGCTTTGGCTTCACTGACTGCCTCAGATCCTCCACTACCTTTTGAGAGAGAGAGAGAGAGAGAGCGGGCGAGACAAAGAAGAATAATTATCTCCTTGTTTTTCTGTATAGACAGCAACCATAATTATACTAAAAGGTGTGCTAATGGATGAAGACAGAAATTACAATATTTTGTAAACTACATTGTTAAAAAAAAATACAAGAACCCACCAAAATCTAGTTTTATATATTTTTAAAATCTATGTTACACCTGTAAGATAACAAGTGAATACAAAAAAAGAAAGGAGAAGGAGAGAAGGACCGTACAGTCATACTTGCCATATCTTCAGAGACGACAAGAAGGCTTCCTTGTGCGTGATATTCTCAAGGTGCTTGAGTTCGTAAGCAGACAGTCCAGAACATGCATCCTGATGATACAAGGCACTTCTTAATAAACATTTCCAAAATCATATCAATGCAGTAAAATCATTTCAGTTTCATGAGCACTAGGAAATGTCTGTGTCATCACCTTGTTGTTTAAGCGAGGATTGTTGTTTCTGGCGGAGAAGGGGCATGTGGGTGCCAGAACCCAGACAACTTCATCTTCAGGTTCCTCTGGACCAAGCGGATTTAATTCCCTCAGAGTGACAGCTCTACCACCATTTACCTTGCATGATTTTTTTTATTCAAACAACCCAATGGACTCAATGTTGAAATACTGGTGGTCAGTGTGTCCTAATGTCCATTCCATTCTAATAACCAATCCATATTATCTAGATGGAAAAATTACTGGCACACTATTCTGATACATACCACATATTCTTTAACAAGTGTGTCCAGGTCTTCATTGAAGTAGATGCTCAGACAGCTCATCACACAATTTCGCCTCACATTGACATCTTCATTCTGTTAAAAGCCAACAGATTCAAAGACATTTATCTTCTTGACCACACCAATCACCTTATTTTACACTGCAAAAACTAACAATCTTATAAAGTTTATTTGTAATGGAAACTCATTTTCAGGCTCCTTAAAATAGGATGATTGTTACATCTTTCTATCAAGCAAGTAAACTCCCATTGATTTCAGTTAATTTGAATTGTTGTTTAATTTTATTATTCTATATACAAGGTTTTACAGTATAAAATGCTAAAAGCAAGTTTCGATAACACTGATATTGTTTTATATAAATTTTAATCAATTTCAGCATTATATTGATAATCTATTGTATATTACATTGACTGAATATTAATTAAAAGTTCATCTAATATGTTATACATGTTAACGTGTAGATCTTTTAACTTATACTTACAAAAATCTATGTTGCCACGTGGAGGTGAGAACACGGCGAGAGGAAAACACCACCAGTTACGTTTCTGGAAAAAAGAAAGTAAGAATAAAATAAGTGGTGTCATTCAGTTCTGTAATCTAACTAGCCGTAAAACAGCAAACATTAGCTTACATATTACAGTGACAATTCTTGACTTCAAATTCGATTCTCTTTATTTTCACAAACATAAAAACCAACAGCAATGGGTTAATTTGATTAATTGATGCATTTTAAAGTTGTTTGGCTAAGCTTACTGAAGTTATGATTCTAACGGGCATCTGTATTCTCCGGTAAACCAATGTACAATAAAACCATTTAAAAAAATCACAAACTACATAAAACTTACCATAAATGGATTAATGTTATATACACTTGATGCTAAATAAAAAAATAATTAGAACAGGAGCCATACAACAAAGGATGTTTCGGATTACTTACCAACATGTGTGTGACGGATTCCCACAATATCCCGAGGGCTTGTGTCCAGCGAAAATGATGTCATTTCCTGTTTCCAAATTGATTTTTTTCATAACTTTGATGAAAACCAATCACATAAACTTTAAATAACAGAATCTTGTTTGTTTTATAACTCTTATTATTCAAACAATGTTAGTATTTATTAACTAAATGCATTAAATAAATTGTATAATTGATTAAATCTTTTAGAGTATATTTACTTTTAATGTATAGATTTTAAAAATATTAGTTTTTAAATAAAGTCAAATAGATGTAAATGCATAAAAACTAACTCTGCCATGAATCATTTCTGTGAGTGTACATATATGTTGTGCTTCCTGCAATGTTAAATAAAACAAGGGTGATTTTAAGCAATAAAAAACCCTATCCTGATGTATCTAAGCATTTATGGTAATTGTATTTTTGAACTGCAAATGGTCATCAAACGCCATGCTTATTTATTCAACTTATAGTTGTAAGTAATTATAGCAGCACTAATCATTATCTAGAAAAGGTCATTTGTTACAAATTCGTATTATCACGTTGTAATTAACAACAGTTTATTGTAAATAATACACAAATGTAAATGGATTTTAAAAAACTAAACTGTCACTAACTGATGTTTGACATTCAGCGTAGGCTCAAAAAAAAGGTCAAGAAGATTGTATAATTACTGTAATACGGACAAAATTGGTAGTTTTAAGCAGTTTTCTACTGTGTTTAAGATCAACACAAGAGCATATTTTCATCACAGCCATTTTTAACATCATAGCTAACAATTAGCATTTGACCTTCAAATCCCTTAATGCAATTATCTACATAAATTCAAAACACTAAAGGAAATCAACAATAAAAGAGTGTCACATCACAGAATATTAAACATAATGATCAAGATAAAACTGTGACTTTCTTTTCAAACCATATGCCAGTTAGCCAAACATATTTTACTTTAAAGAAATCAAGTTTTGCCCAAGGACGTTTCCCAATGAAGTTCCCTTTTCTACATTAATTTTGGTAACACTTTATTTTGAAGGTCAATTTGAGTATTAGTAGACTGTCTGCTTAGTATCTGTTGATACTGCTCCTTCAACAGACATTTAACTGACTACAAGAAACTTTGCAAACTTTACATGTCAACTTACACTAACCCCAACCTATCAGTCTACTTATAATCTAGTGAGAATTAGTTGGCATGTAGATGCAATGTAACTCAATTCTAAAAGCAGACCATCAAACTAAAGTAATGTTAATAATAATTCATAATACTTTTAAAATAAGTAAAAAAAAAGCTGATTGAGTAAGCTGGAAACATGGTGGTCTGATTTCTGATTATGTCATTATTTCTTTGATATTACTGAAGATTCATCAAATGTTCTCATGCGAAACATTGCAATTACCTTTACATGCAGTCATTGCAAATGACCTATAATGTTTTATAAATACAATAAAAAATATTTAAAAATGGAAAAGTACAAAATAAAACTTTTTTTAATCAGTGAAAATGAGGAAAATATTTACCTTATTTACCCTGCTCTATTTTTTTTTTTATTTTTTTTTTTTGGAAAAAAGTAAAACCAACTATTTTTTTTTTCTCACTCTACTGCATCACATGGCCAAATTTAAATGAGTAAATGATTACATAAAATCTAAAGTATGTTAATAACATTTTGAGCTTAATATTATGCCCTTCTGCACTCAACTTCTCCACTGGTGAGTGCACAGAGGAGTTTAAGACTCATGACAAAAGCCATTACTGATCTCACTGCGGTGATGAATGGCCTTTTATATCCTCTCACACACCTACCATCACAACAACTGTGCTCATCAAGCTAAAAACACCCTGAATGTATGAGTTTATATGTGCGGCCACTTCTGAGGGTTTCTGACCCAGGGTCAGTCTGTCATGGATAGGTGCTGAGAGAGCACTTCAACCTGTATAATGAGCTGTTCAATTATATAACATTCAAATTAGATGACACTGTCATTTTTCCCCAACCCAACTCTATAAAACCCACACATAAGAAAAAAAAATGTACCTCAGGCAGCATTTTTGCAAAAGTTGCAATGCTTTTTCAAGTATAAACTCCAGTAAATGGGGCTAAAAAATATGCCAAATATACAAAGCAGCTAAAAAGTCTGTGGCATCATATTACTATTTCAGAATGTATCAGCAGGTCAACAGTCAATTGGATAAACAGTGGTGGTAAAAGGTTAAATGGTTAATTCACCCAAAAATGAAAGTTAATTTTTAAATTACACACCCTTATGTAATCAAATTCGCTAAGACCATTATTCATCTTCGTAACACAAATTAAGGCACTTTAGATGAAATCAGTGAGCTCTCTAATCCTCCATATACAGCAAGGGTCCAGACACATTCAAAGTCCAGAAAAGTAACATTGTCAAAATATTTTATGTGACTTGAGTGGTTCATCATACAAAAAAACCCTATTATTAATCATATATACATATAATTATTTTTTTAGGATTTTCAGCTAATAAACAAGACAGATAGTCTAATTGAGATTACAGACAGGAAAAGTGAGGGGAGCAATGAGAGAGGACTTCGAGCTGGGAATTGAACTCATGTCGCAGTGAGCACTTTAGGGTGCTAAGCTTAGTGCTTTCACACTTGGTTCAACTGCCTGGACCGTACCCAAGTTCGATTGTCCCCCCTTGCCACCTCCTTGGTTGGTTTGTGTTCACACTGTTGTTTTTTTCCGTCTGAAACCAGGTACACTTACGTCATTGAGCTGTTGTTTCGTTTACGGCCGTTGCTAGGTGACGGTCATGAAAACAAAGAGCCGAAATGGAAAGACTTCCGCACATCCCGGTCATTCTGCTTTTACTGAAGCTTGTGGTTTTGGACATAAAGAAAGCGACTCACGTCCATCTGCTCCAAAAATATAATGAACATTCAGCCCATCACACAGTGTCTGCAGAAGGTGCTTTTAGAGGAAACAAGCAGACATCACTGTGTATCACCATGTTTGCCCTGGCTCAGTCACACGTGTCACCAAGGGACAAAACGTGACACAGACACACACGAACAAACGTTATGAAAATAATAGTTTGTTGTACAGTTGGCGGTTCACTTCCGTTATTTGGTACCATTGCATTCACATCAGAAGTCAAAAGTACCAGAGTTTGAGTGAACCGTACCACAGACCACCTCTTTCAGGCGGAATCAGGTACGGTTCACATGTGCACACCCGAGTTCAGAAGACACGTTTACACTAGATAAACATACCGTACTATGACGTCAAACGAACCTGAGTGTGGACCAAAAGTGCTAGTGTGAAAGCCCCTTAGTGGCACATGTTGACACACTAACCGCTATTGGTGCAGACAAAGAAAAAAAAAATTGAAACATTTAAAATGTTTTTGATAACACCACCCTTACTTTTTTAATACCCTGATTTAATAGGGCTCATTCTAAAGCAACCTGGATCAAAAGTGCAACATTGTACCAGGTGAGCTAGTAAGCAAGTTTACCATGTATAAAAAGTCATATATATGAAGATTTACAAAGCAAACTTGAATAAGTACTAGTTTAAAAAGCAAACACTATGGTAAAAGTGTTTAGAGGCAATATATTGTATGTATATATATATATATATATATATATATATATATATATATATATATATATATATATATATATATATATATATATATATATTGATGTTAACAAGCGAATGTCAGTTGAGTCAACATTAAAGAGATAAAAATCTGATCAACTTCCATAGTTTTTTTTTCCTGCTAAGGATGCCACCAGTTTCCAACTTTTTAGAATGTCTTCATTTTGGTTCAACATAAAAATTAAACTCAAAGGTTTAGAACCATTAGGGTCAGTATGTTTCAGTAAATTTTAATTTTTGTATTTAATTTTAATTTTCTAACTATCCCTTTAACTGATATTCTGCCCTGTAATAATTTGCATAGGAAGAAATAAAAGTAGTTTAAGTAATTGGTGTATTACTTTTTTCTTCAAGTTCTGCAGAAATGTTAGTAGAGGCATGTTTAAATAGCTTGTTCTTTTAAAAAAAAATGCTCATTTTTAGAGGACAAAAAAGTTCATGCACAAATTTGAGTTATTCGTGTTTCGAGCCCCTTTTTCCCCAAAACACAAAGTAGCTTTGTTAAACGCTAGCAAAAGAGACAGCACAGCTTCAATAAATGTGTAATGAATCTAATCATCTTAGTAATCACTGCTTAATATGAACAAT